CTTTCTCTTTGTCTTCTTGCTTGACTTCTGGTATTCATAAACCTGAAAACAAAGACAGCACTTGAAAGGTAATCAGTAAAACAAAATAAAATGACTTGATCTCAAGAAGATCCAAAGTCTTAATGCTCGAATAAACTCTCCAATTGGCAACGGCGCCAAATTGATAGTAGGTTTTTTTAGCCTACTAAGGTCAATTAACCTCTTGTGTTGTAGCACTTGAGGGTCAATCCAAATGGAGAGATTCTAGACACTAAGACTATGAGGATCAATTCTTAATCCAAGTCTAATTAAACAGGTTTTGGTAACAAAGTGATCTAAAACATAAAACAAACAAGAACAAGCAGTAATTAAGAATTAAACAAGAAAACAAGACAAACAAAACAAAGATTCAAATCCAAAATAAAAGAAAGCTAAACCTTTAGATGTGATCATTGATCAGGGTGCTTTAAATGTGAATTCATGATGCTAAGCAAACAATGCAACACTTGCAATTCTTTAGTCTAGACTTCCAAATCAGATTAATTCATTCTCATGACAAAAATCCCTTTGTTAATTACTTAATCAAGACTAATTCCCATTAGTAAATATGCAATTAACAAGCATAAGGTTCCAAGTCTAACATGACCAAACAGCCTCTTTGTGCATCAAAATAAGAGCTAAGAAAGACTGAATCTTATACAGAAGATAAAGCAAGCATCACATGATCTCAAATTCCAATCAACTTAGAACTCTAATCTAGATTAATCCTCTCATGAAGGCATTAGTCTCTACACTAATCCACTTACAAACCAAATTCCTATTTGTGAAATATGAATCAATGAGCATTAAGAAACAGTTATAATATGTTATTTATGAATTTAACTATCACTCTCATGATGAAAAAGGCATAAACCCTTAGCTTAGCTCATTCAGGCATTTCATCAAACACCTTGTGGGTGGAGAAATGCCTAAGTTCTAGATCAAGCTTATAATGAGAGATCTAGCATTAAGAGCAGCTAACTAAGGAAAGGAAATGAGAATCTAGAGCCTAAACATCATAAATCAAACATCTAAGCACCCTAATCTACACACCTAGAAGCTTAAAAGAAGACTACTCACTAATCATGATTAACACACCTAATCTTTTGTAAGAGGTGATGTTATCATGATTAGAAGCAAAGAAAAGAAGATGAGATGATAAGAAACAGCTTTAGATTGATTAAATCCTTCAGATATCTCTTAACAAACTCGTTTTTGACTCAAGGGGAAAAGAAAACAAAGAGAGAATGAAAGGTAAAAGGTAAGATGTCTAGGTTTTTTCTCTCAAAAACTATTTATACTAAGGGTCTTGGACCGGGTCAGCCTAGGACAAACTGGGTAGTGATCCGGCTTCAAATGGGCAATGGGCTAACTGTGCGACTTGGTCAATTGTTTTCCATCTCGCAGCCCCAAGTCGCACAGCCATAGGAACAGCCTTGTGTGCCTTAAATCGTTCAGCCTCAGCCGCATGCCTATCTAGGTGTAAACCGCGAGTGTTTGTGCTGTTCAGGCTTTCTTTTCTTCAAATTGCACAACCAGGACGCATTCTGGAGAGAATATGTGTGCGAGTTGGTCATATTTAGTCCCAAGTGGCAGGCCCAAGTCGGTGTAAATCGCGAGTCTTTCTGCGGTTCAGTTCTTTACTCGGCCAACTCGCATAATCCAAGTCTCCTCGGACCACTTCGCATTCAGGGGAGCGTAACTTCCTGGATATGGATCCAAATGGCAAATTAAAACTTCAGTGGAAAGATCACTCAAATATCGCAAACTTTGGTGAAGAAAACTTAGGCGCTTGGGAAGTGGAAGATTCCCCGGAGGGTTCATATTTGCAATGCATTGAAACGATCAGAAATAGGCTTCTAGACATGTGTTCATTTCGGAAACGTTATCTTCTTTCTCATAGCTCGAAATTGAATGATCTCAAACGTTATGGAAAGAGGACTCAAATATCTTGAATCTTGATGAATACCCCGGCAACTGAATCAGACTGGAAAGGCATCGTCCCACGAAATCTTTGTGACTCATCGGATCGGTCTTGAAACTGTAGCGAGATAAGTGTGCCTTCCGGTGAGCTTAACTCTCTTCTCACGACTCCAAATCCAATTATTCCACCTGTTCTGGAACCATGACATAATCATCTCCGACTTTGCTTAAGACCCTGTAATCTGAATCGGACGTGAAAACTCCCCGGACAGGCGATCTTTCAGACGTATCAGATTGCTCCGGAATGGATGCGAGACATGTCTGTCTTCCGGTGGCCGTATCTTTCAGCTCAGTGCTCAAAATGCCATGATTATAACTTTTCTGGGTTCGTGACTCAATTATATCCAACTTTCATGAAGATCCTAACAGCTGAATCGGACAGAAAGACCTTCCGGTAACGTGATTTCCGAGATGTATGTGCACCCGAGATTTTTGGCCGAGAAACTTAACCGCCAGTACGTGATTTTTGCCGAGAGATCTACCCGCAGGAAGGATTTTGGCCAGGAATCTCCGACCATCAGTACAGCATTTTGCCGAGAGACTCAAAATTTCCCATTTACACCATTTTTGATCATTTCAACTCCATTTTTTCATCTGAATCACATCCCCCACTCCAAATAAGCTACAAAAGCACCTGTTAAACACTCTAAAACATGCAAAATTCTTTTGGACCTAATGTAATCTCCTAAGTCCTAATAATGCAATTTATGAATATATCACTTCCCAACTTCGACCCGCTCAGCCATCTCGGTTTAAATTGCGAGTCATTGTGCGACATGGCACTTGATTTTTTCTATCTCGCACATTCATCTCTCACACTCCAGCTTTCATGCAAGCCTTTGTCTCCTCCTGGTGTTTCGACATGGCCTGATGGAGAGCTATGATAACACCGGATTTTGAGCACTTTTATGGATCGTTTTAATATCTTATGCAGGTGTGTTAACTCTGTTTTCAATGCTTTGTAAGTGATTTCTATGTTTTAGAGTTTTAAAAGACTTTTCAGGAAACTTGGACTAAAGATGTGCAATTTGGAACAAATGAGCCATTTTGGATAAATGCAGACTGTCAAAAGTATGGCACTCGATGAAGACCTTCTCACCGTCTGATCATCCCAACAACTTGAGACAACATAGAGGAGACAACCAGATTGCTAAAGAAATTGGTTTGGAGACAATCCAATGGTTAGATCTTCAAATATTTCCGAACCACTAAAGCCAGAAAATGCAGTCTTGAAGGAAGGCATAAGCCGCGACTGCGGCCAGACTAGGTTTCCCCGCGGTCAGGACCACCGTGACCATGGCCAGACATTATTGACGTCCGAAGATGACCTAATTCAAGCCCAAGTTCAACCCACTACTTATTCTTCAAACCCTAGACGTTTCCAATGAATTAGAAGGCTATATATACTCGTTTTAGGTCATTCTAATGACCAGGTCGTGGAGAGAGAGCAGATAAGAGCCGCATACCTTCAGAGTTGTCGTCTTCGAGAGAAGAAGGAGCCACCGAAGGAGCCATCATCGATCTCCATTTTCATCCTCGTTCTTCGTTCTTTACCTTTCTCTTATTTCATTTCCAGCAAACTATAATACTTCTGTGATGTTCTTATACACTATGACTGAGTAAATTCCCTTGTTGGGTTAGGGATTTTTTAAAGGGTTTGATTTCTGGTTTGTTAGATTAGGGTTTATCTTTAGATTTCTTCGTCCAAATTTGTGTTTCGTTTATGTGGCTTAGATCGACCATCTAGCTACTGCGATTAGGTTGATTTACTCACCGAAAGTGTTTTCGAATCGATTAACCATATTTAGATGAACAAATTCTCTTAGACGGCGTGAGTCGGTCTAAAGCGTTTTGTGAAGTTATCAAACTAATTTTTCTAGCCACTTAGAGTGAATGGGAGTTTAGTAAATCTAGGTGAATGGATTTGTGATTAATACTACGTGAGTAGGTTAGTCTTGGTTTGATTTCAGGAACATATCTATAGAAAACTTTATGTTTAATTCTCTTGTTAGCTAGTCTATGATTCCCGGCGAATTCCCTAACACGCAACACCTTCTCGTATTGATTTGATCTTATTATTTACTTGTTTTTAAGTTTAATATTTGCTATTTTCGTCACTATTCATAAACCCGCAAACAAACATCCATATTTTCATCTTATCTCTGTTCTCATCTCAAGTAAACTCGTATTGCAGTTACTTGGTCTTCAGTGGATCGATCCTAAGTACTACAACGTACATCTGAGCGCTTGCATAAATAGGGTTAAACCTGAGCACATCAAGCTGACCCGCACGTCCATCTTGGTTTAAATTGCAAGTCAATGTGCGACATGGCTCAATTGTCTCTGTCCGAGTCGCACGGCTATCTCGCACACCAGGCGGCTCACACAGTTTTAGTGCCTCAAGCTCATCTCTCAACTGTTCTACAACTCCTTTTCTCTTTGTCCTTGGACCACAGCACTTCCAAGTTACCTAAGACCTGAAACCACCTCACAAAACACTTCAAAACATTCTAAACATGAAAAAGAGAATATTAAAAAGATTTTTTACAAGGATAAGCTTGGGGTGTCTCCCAAGAGCACTTTTTTTAAGTCACTAAGTTTGACTTTTCATAACCTTAGTTGGATGGGGGGTCATCAAGAGAGACTGAGGTAGCTCCCTCTTTGATTGCATTGACCAGGTAGGGCTTCAGCCTTTGTCCATTCACAACAAAACCAATTCCATCTTTTCCTTTAAGCACAACAGCTCCATAAGTCCTGACCTCCAAGATCTTGAAAGGACCAGACCACCTTGACTTTAACTTGCCAGGGAACAGCTTGAGCCTTGAGTTAAACACAAGGTCTCCCTGCTTGAAATCCCTTTTCATAATTTTTTGATCATGCAAAGTTTTGGTCCTCTCTTTGTAGATCTTTGAGCTCTCATAAGAATTAAGCCTTATCTCCTCTAGCTCATGAAGTTGAAAAAGTCTTTTCTCCTGATCTGTCTTGATAAACTTAACAGTTCATAATGCCTTGTATTCCAGCTCAACAGGCAGATGGCAACTCTTCCCATATAGAAGATTGAAAGGAGAGTTTCCAATGGGAGTCTTGAAGGCAGTTCTATTAGCCCATAGTGCATCATCCAATTTCTTGGACCAGTCTTTTCTAGATGAGCTCACAGTCCTTTCAAGAATGGCTTTGACATGCTTGTTGGAAACCTCCACTTGGCCACTTGTTTGGGGGTGATATGGACTTGCTATCTTATGCTTTACCCCATACTTCTTAAGAAGTCTCTCCAAAGTCTTGTTCAGAAAATAACTTCCACCATCACTTATACGCACTATAGGAACTCTAAACTTTGGGAAAATGATGGTCTTAAACAGCTTTACCACCATTTTAGAGTCATTTTTTGGACTTGTTATACTTTCCACCCATTTGGAGACATAGTCCACTGCAACCAGGATGTATTGATTACCATGAGAAGAGACAAAGGGTCCCATGAAATTAATTTTCCAACAGTCAAATACTTTTATTTCTAGAATTGGGTTATGTGGCATCTCATTCCTCTTAGAGATGTTTTCTGCCCTTTGACAAGCATCACACCTCACAACAACTTCTTAAGCATCTATAAACATTGATGGCCACCAGAAACCTGACTGATGTACTTTAGTCACTGTCTTGAAAGCAGCATGATGACCTCCATAAGCTGATCCATGACATTCTAGGAAAACCCCTTGGACTTCTTCCTCAGCTAAGCAACTTCTGTAGAGGTTGTCTTTGTTAAGAACATACAAATATGGCTCATCCCAAAAGAACCATTTAGGTTTCTCATTTCTGGGGGCTCCACTCCACAGGAAAGATAGTTCACAATGTCTGCAAATCATGGAAAACCACCTTCTTTGATGGACTTGAGTTTTTCTAACTCATTCAAAAGCTTCATTGCCATGAGCTGCTCTTCAGGGAGAGAATCATTAAGAGGGACATCAGCTTCCACTCTGAGTCTAGACAGGTGATCATGTACTCCATTTTCTATGCCTTTATTGTCTTTGATTTCCATATCAAATTCCTGGAGCAGCAATACCCATCTCAACAGCCTTGGTTTGGCATCCTTCTTTGTCATCAGATATCTCAAAGCTGCATGATCAGTATACACCACCACTTTTGACCCCACCAGATAATATCTGAATTTGTGAAAGGCATAAACAATAGCCAACATTTCCTTTTCAGTGGTGGCATATTTCTCCTGAGCTATGTCCAAAGTCCTACTAGCATAGTAGATGACATGAAGCTTTTTATCCTTCTTTTGTCCCAGCACAGCACCAACTGCAAAGTCTAATGCATCAGTCATGATATCAAATGGCAAGCTCCAGTCTGGTGCTTGAACAATGGGAGCACTTATCAGGGCTTGCTTGATCTTCTTAAAAACTTCATGACATTCTTGATCAAAGAGGAACTCCACATCTTTACATAGAAGCCTTGTCAAGGGTCTTGCTATCTTTGAAAAGTCTTTAATGAACCTTCTGTAGAACCCAACATGTCCCAAAAAGCTTCTGACTCCTTTCACTGAATTTGGAGCCCCCAAGTTAACCATGACATCCAAATTGGCCTTGTCAACCTCTATCCCAGCTTCAGATACCTGGTGCCCCAATACAATGCCTTCTTGCACCATGAAATGGCACTTCTTCCAATTCAGCACCAAGCTTGTCTCCTCACATCTCCTTAGCACCTGAGACAAGTTAGAAAAACAAGAGGAGAAGGAGGGTCCATAGACGCTAAAATCGTCCATAAACACCTCAATTTTCTCTTCTATCAGGTCAGAGAAAATCGACATCATACACCTTTGAAAGGTGGCAGGAGCATTACACAGACCAAAAGGCATTCTTCTGTAAGCATAAGTGCCATAAGGGCAAGTGAATATTGTTTTCTCTTGGTCTCTAGAGGTCATTAATTCCTCTTCCGGATGTATCCTATGGGTGCATAAGTCAGGTGAGATCCCCCTAATGTCATCTAGAGAATAGCCTATAGCTCTCCTATACTTTCTTAGTTCATTCAACAAAGCATTCTCATCATGAACTAATAAGCTATCATTGATGATCATAGGATAAGATGAATTAGAGCCAAGAAATGCATACCTGAGCTCTTTTGGGAATGGCTTAAGCTCAACAGACAGAGGCTTGTGTTCATCCCAATCTCCCACAAAGCTCTCTTGATCAGCCTGAGTTTCATTGCTGCTGGTGTTCTCAGCCGGTTTAGCCTCTTCCTCAGCTTGTGAACCCACTGCCATACACTCTTGAACTGGTCCCTGACTTGTACTGAATCCACTGATACTCTGATCCACTTGGCCGCTTGTCCCCAGCTTAAAAAACTGTGTTTTTGTACCTGCTACCTTGTGCTGATCCAACACCATCTTGTAGGCTTCACTCTCTTCAGCCAAGAACCCATGTCTCCCTGGTTCTTTTGTCAAGGTGACCTGAAGAGGATCCTCTAGTGTCAGCTCTTCCAATAGCTCATCAGCCAACTGATCCATTGTTTCAACATAGAAGACCTGTCCTTCCATTGTTGGCTTCTTCATCATCTCATTCATGTCAAATGTAAGAGATTCTGATCCAAGGTGCAGCTCAATCTTGCCTCCTCTCACATCAATTATGGCACCTGCTGTAGCAAGGAATGGTCTACCCAAAATGAGAGGATCAACAGGATCTTCATCCATTTCAAGCACAATGAAGTCAGTTGGGTCTTCAAAATCACCTATCTTCACAGGAAGATCTTTAAGAAGTCCAATGGGGAGCCTAAATGATCTATCAACAAGTACTAAAGATATCCTTCCAGGCTTGTAGTCTGTGAACCCCAACTTCTTTGAAATTGAGAAAGGAATTAAGCTCACTGATGCTCCAAGATCATATAGACAGCTGGAAAACTTAATAGGACCAATAATGCAGGGCAATGTAAAGCTCCGTGGATAAGATAGCTTCCTAGGGATTGTCATTCTCTGAATTAGTGCACTACACTCATGGCTCAAGACTACCATCCCTTGTAGTTCTCTTGACTTGTTCAAAATAGAATCCTTTAAAAACTTTCTAAGTTGAGGAACCATAAGGAAAGCTTCTATGATAGGCATGGTGAATTGAGTGTTCTCCAATTGCTTTTCAAAAACAGCTCTAACCTTATCTAAGAGCTACTTCTTGAACCTTCCTAGAAATGGAAGTTTGGGCTGATAAGGTTGTGGTGGCAAATATGGTTTCTCAGGCACCATCTCCTTTGCCACACCTTTGCCCTTTTCATTCTTTACAACTTCATCATCTAGTTCACTCCCTTGAGGCACCTCCTCACCAAGTTTCTCATTGTTCTCAATGAGAACATATTGTTTTTCTCTCTCTGGTAGCTCCTTGCCACTTTTGAGGGTAATAGGATTGGCATACTCCTTTGGGTTTGGCTCAGGCTTCCCAGGAAGAGTTCCTTACTGTCTAAAGAAGAATCTTGATTCTTCTGAAGTTCTTTCAGCTGATGTTGAATAGCTTTATACTTTGAACTCAGATCAGTGCAACTGTTCTCAACCCTTTGCTGACCCTGAAGTATCTTTTGAAGAACCTCACCTAAGTCTGAACCCATCTGCTGACCCTGCTGCTTCTGCTGTCCAAAACCTGGTGGAAACTTGTTCATTCGTGACTGACTAGTGAAGCTACCACCTTGATTCTGCTGAGGTTGCTGAACATATTGCTGAGGTTGCTGAACATATTGCTGCTTGCTCTGAAAGTTCCCTTGTTGACAAGGATAGACTTGATCTCCTGGATTTGCTACATTGGGGTTTATGTATGACAAGTTTGAGTTGTTGAAGTTGTTATACCTCTAGAAATTTTTTGATTCCCAATGTAATGCAGCTCCTCTTGTGTTAATCCCTCCTCATTCACATTCTCAAAGCAAGTACTTTGTTCATCAAACTCTCCAACAAAATGCATTGGCTTCTGAGTAGCCAGCAGTACCTTATCCAACTTGATCTGCAGCTCCTTGATGTCCTTTTTCATCCTTTTTTCTTCATTAAGCCATCTCGTTGTTGACTCTGTCATAGTCCTCTCCATAGGAGTCATTACTCATAGCCAAGTTATCCACCAGCTCCATTGCTGCATTGATTTCTTTGGCAAGGAAGTTGCCATTGGAAGCTGTATCCAGTGAATTCCTGAACTTGGGGAGAGCACCTCTGTATAGAGTGCTAAGTAGAGAAGCCTCAGAAAAACATGATGAGGGCATTGGTTTGTATAGCTTCTAAATCTTTACCATGCTTCCCCAAAGGTCTCATTAGTGTGTTGGGTAAAGCTTGAGATTTGATTCCTCAACTTGGCTGTTCTTGATGTGGACAAGAATTTAGACAGGAAAGCCAGTTTACATTGCTCCCATGTTTGGATTAAGCCCTTAGGCAAGTTGTTCTCCCACTGATGAGCTTTGTCTTCCAAGCTGAAACGGAACAGTCGTAACTTGAAGCTATCCTCTGAGACCCCATTAAGCTTTGTCATATCACATACTCTGTCAAATTGATCAAGTTGCTCAAGTGGATCTTTCATAGGCAGCCCATGAAATTTTGAATTCTGCACCATATTGAGAAGTGATGCCTTTACTTCAAAATTGTTATTTTAGACAGGTGGAGCTTGGATTCCTGCTCTGTTTTGATGTGCATTAGCCCTGTCATTCTCTGCAACAAAGACAGAGTTTGGCTTTTGATGCCTGGGAGGTTGTGGGTAGGTCTGTTGATGGACCTGATACCCTTGCTGGTTTACTTGAACTTGATGCTCATTTCTGGCTGCCTAATTCTGATTCATCTGAGGTGGTGCTCATTTGTGGCTGCCATATTCTGGTTCACAAAGGCCTGTGCTTCATTTCTGGCCGCTTGATTCTGATTCACTTGAGCCTAGTGCTCAGCTTGATCTCCTGGCTGATCCATACCCAACCGCTGAAGATGTTCTGCTCTCTCCCTTGCTCTTCTACCTCTTTTATCAAGCAAATGGATACTGTCAATGAAAGGTTCAGCTGGTTCACAACTTCTGCATCTGGTCCTTGGTCTATGCGACATAAACCTGAAAGCTCAAAGACAGAGCTGAAGAGTCTTATCAGTAAAAAAAAAAAAACACTTGATCTCAAGATTATACCAGAGACTAATGCAAAATCAACACTTTGGCAACGGCGACAATTGATAAACAAGAGTTTATTGACTCCTCTTAGGGTTATTAATCCCTTTATCTGTTGTAGCATAAAGGGTGTCAATCCAAAAATATGGTTTCGATCACTAATCTGTCAGGTTTTATCTTAATCCAAGCAGATCAAAGAAGGTTGTTGTGTAACAAGTAACAAATGAAAGCTAAACAAGGGAAAAAAAAACTTAAGCACGTGATTAAAGACAAACAAAAGCAAGTAAATAGCAAGATGATGATGAATGTAAGATGATGAGACATAGAGTTGTAGACATGATAATTAGCTAGGGTGCATCAGGGTCTAATCAAGGAGTTAATGACAATGATGATTAATGATCTCTGCAGCTTAGGATTCATTTCAAGTTTCAATCTTTCTCAAGTATCAAAACACAATCTCAAACATTGCTCATACCCAATCATCATTAGATATACAATGAAAAAATGCATCAAACACCAATCCTAATATACCATCTATGCTCAAAACAACATTCCCATATGAATCAAACAATAGACTCTTGACTTAGCTGGTTCAAGCATTTCATCAAACACCTTTTGGGTGGATGAAATACCTAAAATCTGGGTTTAAGTGATTATCAGAAATCCAGCATTAAGATTAGCTAAGCAAGACAGAAATGCATAGATCTAGCCCTAAAAAACCTTGATCACACCCCTAAGTACCCTAACCTACATATCTAGAATCCTAATGAGGTGACTACTCACTAATCATGATTAACTCTCTGATTCCTTTGAAAGAGGAGTAGTTAAACATGGTTAGTTGATAAGAATAGATAGATGATGGATAGATAATGATGAAAAGATGATTCAAACTCTAAAACTCTCTTGGATTAAACAGAAAATGGGAGATATTTCTCTCAAAAGGAGTCTTACACAAAAGAAGCAAAAAGTTTAAGGGAATGAAAGGTAACTCTTGGGAAAAAACCCTAAAAACTATATATAGTCTCTAGTTCGGACCGGGTCAGCCCAGGATAAATTGGGTACTGACCCGGCTCAGTTGGGTCAAGTGTCTAGTATGCGAGATGGTCTAGGTCCTTGCCCACCCGCGCAGCCATGTCGCACTGATCCTGGAGCTTGTTCTTGCGAGTCAACTCCTAACTGATTCAGCTTCACTCCCATCTCGGTCCAAACTGTGAATGTTTGTGCGGTTCAGGTCGTCATTCTTTTCCACTCGCACCTATCTCGCAGCCTGGAGAAAGCATGTGTGCGAGATGATTCTTCTCACCTCCCAGTCGCACAGCCATGTTGGTTTAAATTGCGAGTGTTGGTGCAACGTGGTTCACTCCATTTCCCACTCGCACTCCCAAGTCGCACAGCCTTGTGGAGTTAGCATAATTTGAGCTTGGAAGTCTTTACCCTGCTGCGAGTTAACCAAATCGCACAACCCATGTCGCAGCTTTTCTCATTTTCTCGGACCAACCTTTCCTTGAACTGGCATAACTTGTGGGGTGTTAACCCAAATGGTTCGGGACAAACTCCATAGAGAAGGTAGCTAGATTGCCTCCAACTTTGATGAAGAACTTGAATGCATCCGAGGTGAGGAAAGCCTTTCGGTAAACGGGTTTCTGCATCGGCTCAGGAAGCTCTGGTTTCTTGCTGCGGGACACGCCTGTCTCTCGATTGCAATATCTCCTGAATCAGCACTCCAAATAAGATTATTACAAGCGTCCTGGGAAGAAGACTTGAAGCTCTTGAATCTTTATGAAGGCCCCGAAAACTAGTTGGAAAGGTAAGGGCATCATCCCGAGTGATCTTTGAGGTACATTGGATCGGTTCAGAATGAATGCAAAACAGGTTCATCTTCTGTTGGCACCAAAAAAATCATCTAAAGAGATGGATATAAAGATTGATTGTATGTACAATGACTTAAATTGGAAGTTTGAATCTCTTTCAACCATGTCAAGAAAATCGAACTACAAGTAGGCCAAACTGCAGACTCAATGAAGAGACAGTCAGAAGCTTTGCCAAGAAGAATAGAAGACAATCCAAAGGAGTTCTGCAATGCTATCTCAACAATACCTGAAGAATAAACAATTGCAGAATCAAGGAGAAATCGATTTATGTTCCACTCCTTGAGAACACAAAAACCAAGTATAAAGGAGATCTAGACTCGCCATATGAGGTACCAAAATGACTTATTTTCTAAAGACTGAAAAATTCTTAAGGATCCAGGGCATTTTTCTTTTTCTTGTTCATTACTGGAATTGAATTTTCATATTATTTATGTGATTTTGGTGCTAATATGACTATTATGTCAAATTAATTGTTAAGAGACTTGGTATAAGAACTCTTACTCCATCTCCAATAAGGTTAGTCTTTGGTGATTCATCTCAGAAGAAGACTGAAGGAATGATCCAAAACTTTCAATTGGTTATTGTAAGTAAGATTATTCCAACAGATTTCCAAGCGTTAAAGATGGATCAAGACAAGGACAGACCATTGATCTTTGTTCGACCATTTTTAGCTATTTTAGGAGCTGTTATTGACCATGCAAATCGTTGTTTAGTTTTCTTAAATGTGGACATGAAATTTTTTTATAGAACCATTCCAGAAGAAGCTCCAACTCGAAGGGATAAACCCAAGGTGTACACTTTGGAAAAGAAGAAAGCTGAAAACAACAAAGCTAAGGAATTGAAGCCACTTGCATCCAAGAAATTTTCAATCAAGATAGTGGTGCCACCAAACATAAGTAAAGTGAAAGAAAAAGACCTCAAGGAAGTGATAGAGAAGACAGAGAAAGTTTTTAAGGAATGCAACAATTCTTAGGGAAAAGAGATTGTGATATAAGATGAAAGATATCCACTTTACAAGCTTAAGAGAACTGAAGGGACTTCTATTCCAGAAGATCCATCTTCTTCTTCTCACTCCTAATCTCACATAAAATTCTAGCTAAACGACTATAAACAAAAGCGCTTGATAGGAG